CTCGCCGTGAGCCTGCGCGAGCCTGCTCTGGGCCCCTGTGAGGACAGCTCCTGCTGCGCGCCCTGGGCCTGCTGTGTGGTGGACGCTGGGAAGGTAGGGGCCCGTGAATCCCTTGCCATACATGGGTTTGCCATCTAAAAGTAATTTTTTAAATCCATCCTGGAAGCAAGAATTAAATACACATAGTATATATAGTACATATACCTATCATATATACGTTATATGTGTTCAACGTAGACACATACTTTTATAGATAAAATGTTACATGTAGATATTATATGTATAGCGCACGCACACACACACACAGACACACACTTCCTGAAAAAGGAGTAAACTCTTTCAACATACTTGTTTTCATTTAAATAACATAAGGTTTCCAGTGACAGCACTTTTAAAAGCTCATTTGTTCATTCTGCAGGCACTTACTGATGCCTCCCATGTTCGGGGCCGGAGGCTGGTGAACCTTTTCCGTAGAGGCTGAAATCCAGTGAGCATTTCTGGCTCTGGTGACAGTGCTGTCCCTGCAGCCAGCACAGCATGAAGGCGACCACTGACGAGACACAAACGCGTGTGTGTGGCTGTGTACCGTAAAACTTTGTTATGGATACTGACATTTGAGTTTCAAATAATTTTAATGTGTCACAAATTAGTGTTCTTACAGTGTTTTCCCCCAACCATTTAAAAAAACAAAATCATTTAAACTTGCAGCCGTACAAAAACACAGGCCACAATTTCTCTGTCCTCAGCAGCCTCCTCAACACACAAATAGCGCAGTGGCCGGAGCGGAGTCCCCGGCATCGCGGGGCCCACGTTCCGGTGATCGACAGCAAGTGCTGCCAAGGCTGGTGCGTGGGAGCGCGTGGCCCTTCTCACTGAGAGGGACGTGTTCTCTGCAGCCAGCTCCAGCCCTGATGCTGGGGCTCGCCTGACTTGGCCTCAGAGGTGACTGTGGCACACGCACCCGCCGGCTGCGCCCGCCCTTGTTGTGAGGCGGCTTTCCGTGCTGTGTTGTCTTTAGCCTCCGTTCGTCTGCCCGCTGGCCTCCCGTCGCCAGACTCGTACCAGGCCACTGGGCTCCACGAGCAGTGCCGGGTCTGAATCCTGATGCACAGCCGCTGGGCTCCGCGAGCAGCGCCTCGCCTCTGCCTTCCCGGGTCGCGGGTCAAGCCTGTGGCCTGTTCTGAGGCAGCAGAGTGCTCTGTGGAAGGGCGGGCCAGCCCGCTGGTTCTCGCAGGTCCTCGTTCTGGGGCTGGCGGCAGGGTCCCTCCAAGGCCGTGTGTGACAACCAGGCTCACGCCTCCTGTTTGCAGTAGCTACGGAAACCCTAGAAGCTCGCTCTCTGAAGCTGAGCATACAAGAAAGCACTTCACGTGTCGGTAGGATTAGAGACTGTGGAAGATGTTTAACTTTCTCCCCCTCTGTTTCTTTCTGTCTCTTTAGAGAGGGGACAAGAGGGCAGTGTGAATATTGACTGGGACTCGCTTTCATCTTCCTTATGACCCTGGAGCCCGACTCGGTCTGCTCTGCGGGGCAGCCCCAGGCGCACACGGCTTCCCAGCGGGCTCCCAGGGAGCCCACACGTGCTCATGAGCCAGGCTGGAGCGTGAGCCGGCTGCCGGGTCTCAGGTTCCCTCAGATGAAACGGTTCTCGTTTCATCTGAGGACAACTGTAAAGGCACAGTTTTTAAGTTATTAAGTTTGAGGCCCTAGACGATAGTTCCGAAATACTCTCACTGGAAATAGGGACAGATGAGAGGACCGTCATGTGGTATTATTTCATAGATAGATGGCACCAGCCCCAGAAGGTGGATGCTCCCCAAAGGGGAGCGGCACGCAGGGTTCTCAGGGCAGGGGTCCTCCCCAAGGGGAAACAAGGTGGATTTCCTTACGTGGGAGTGCAGAGCGCGTCTCAGTGGAGAGCACCGGGGCTTTCGCCATCGTCCACCCGTTATTTCTGATTTTCGGGGGCCCACGACGCACGGCCGTGTGCCCACGCCTCCCCCAGCCCCGCTCTCCCTCACCTGCAGCGGCTGGTTTCCCTCTGAGACCCAGTTGGGGGAGAAGACAGGCCTGCCTCCTCCGCTCCGGGCTTTAACACTTCCTCCGTTAGGCCATCCGTTCGGTGGCCCAGCCAAGAGTCTGCTCCTCGTGAGGGCGCGGACCTGCGGTTGGTTCCTGCAGGCGCTGCCCGCCGAGCTGCCCGGCCCCTTCGCTCCACCCTCCCTGGGCATCGGGCGGGGAATGTGGCAGGGCGTCCGCAGAAACCGGCTGCCAAACCCTTTAATGCGGGAGAGCTAATAAATAGCATCAGTGTTTCCACAAAATGCCACTGTTGCCTCCTCAGAGGGGCACGGTTAAACTCCACACTGTCCCCCGTCCACATGGGACTTCTCCCGGGCATTTGTTGTCACGGGCCCTTTATTTACCCAGTTCGACCTCCTCACCTGGGTTGCGTTTACATTGGTTTACTTTCATCCAATCGCTCAACCCTCCAAAGCCCCAAGTCGGAAAGCCATGCCGTGCGTGAACCAGAGCGACGAGCCACCATAGCCCCGCCCTCGGTGATGGGAGACAGCGTCGCCTGGCCCCGACATCCCGCAAGCATGACCAGCACTGCGCTTGGGACAGGGGATGGAGAGGTGACTGGGACCCCAGACTTGCGTGTGAGTAGTTCGCAGGACGCCAGGACTAACGGGAACAGAAGCGGACGAGCCGCTTTGTGTCAGGCATGCGGCCGGGCGCTGGGGACAGAGGTGTGGGGCAGGTGCGGCTCCCACCCTTATGGGGGCGGCTGCAGTGCAGCAAGGCCGAGAGGGAGCTGGGGAGACCGCCGGGGGGCCTCACAGGCTGGGGTCCGGGGCGCTGGAACAGAGCGGGGTGTCCAGGGGAGGCAGGGCTCAGACATCTGTGTGAAAGGGCGGGGGCGTGGCTGGAGCCAGCGGTGTGCAGGGCGCCCGGCAGGAGAGCAGAGCCGGGGCGCCGGCGGGCACTCGTTTGCCCTGTGACAGACTTGGACAATCTGGAGATGTGGACGGCGGCTTTCCTCGGTCGGCCAGGGTGCCTCGGCGGGGAAGTGCGCCGACAGGGCTCCCGTCCCGCACGCCTGAATTCCCTCTTTTCAAATGCTTGCTCCTTTGGGCAGAGCGCAGGAATCTGTGTAGTGACGGTTTCGTCCTGGACGAGGAATTAGTTGCAGTAGATGATTCATTGTTCAGAAATGCACTAATAGCTTGGGAGTACTTGTCACCCAGGATTATTCTAGTCTCTGTACTGGCACAAAGTGGAAGTTCTGTGATTGTGGAAGAGGGAGAAATTCGAATTTAGGCTTTATGTGCATTTGAATATTTGTATTTTCCGTCTCAGGAAAAGAAATACAGCTTATAAAGGACGTGGGCTTTATCACGAGAGGAAAACAGGTAAAAGGCAAAATGAGAACGTTCTCCCCACCGAAGGGGGTTGACTAATTACAGAATCAGCCTCGGCGGCCCCAGCAATTCCTCTTCTGTGTCCCCTGGAAAGAGTCAGTCATTTACAGCTGCAGGGTTTGATGCTAAGCCCCCAGCGGCCGATGGGCCGATGGGCCGTTGGGCCGTTGGGCCGTCCCCGCAGCAGGCGGGGGCTGCCGGTCCGGTGTGCGCCGCCAGGGGCCCCTCCTGGCGTTGCTGGGAGCTGCCGGCAGCCCTGCCGGTGTGGCGTTGGCTCTGACGGGGGGCATTGTGGGGAAGGGACCCCGCCTGCCTGGGGTGGGGGACGGGATGGCCCATCGGGATGGAGCCAGCGTGGGTGAGCCAGAGGGACAAAGACAGTGCGACCTTCCCACCCCCAGAAAACATGCCCCACACGTAAAGCTGCTGCTGTGCGCTGCGTTTTGTTTGTCTGATTGCAGGGACAGGCATGTCTTTTACTGCTTTCTTTGAGGATCTTGAACGAGGGGACGCGCTCCACTCACCCTCCTTCCCAGGCCCTGCCACCGGGAGCCCCGGGCTGGGTGCCAAGGGAGCCTTTCTCTGGCTTCCTGCGGCCGACAGGCCAGGGCCCTGGGAGCCAGCGCTGGGTCCGGGGCGTGAGCTCTTCAGCCACAGGGCCTGATGCCCTGTGGGGACACAGATGCCCGGTTCTGGCACTGGGACAGGACTGTCGTTCCTGCCACCTCCGTCCAGCCGAGGGGCAGGGAGGCTGCCCTCACCAGGAACGGCGTTCATTCCTGCCAGAGCGCTGTGCTGTCCCCTGGGGGCCGACGGGGCCAGGCCCGCGGCTGCTGGCACGTCCTGCGTGTCTCCGCGTCTTTGTCCCGTCCACGCAGACACGGCAGGCAGCAGGTCGCCCAGTGCTTGGTGCCTGGAGTGCAGGCCTGTGCCGTGAGACGGCGATTCTCTTAGTCACAAGTGTCCCCGTCTGCTGTGCGGGACGCCGTGCAGAACCTTTAAATGCAGGGCCGGGCACAGCGAGGTGAGAGCACAGGGACCCAACCAAACAACAGATCCTCGAAGGGCCTTCCCACGTCGTCTTTACTATAAGGAATGAGGGAAATTCCACAGCGATTCCTAGGAAGCAGCTCTTGCCTATTGGGTAAATGGGCGCGCTTCGACCAAGGCGATTTGCTTGTCCGATTCTAACCTGGCATCCTTGTGGCCCATTCTGTGACTTTCTTATTCTTCCCCTTGGACTCAGTAACAGTGATCCGTGTGTGCACTTGTGTGCGTGTGTGCGCGCACACGCTGGTGACCTTAAACCTCAGGTGTGGCCGCTCTGAGCCTTCGCTTCCTCATCTGTTTGTCTGCACGCCCCATGTGCTGCTTCTACCCTCACACACACACCCCCCCCGGACATGCGTGTAGCGTGTTGTGTTAAGTGTATTTCCCGCCCTGGATGCATAGTCCACACGCACCCTCGGGAAGAGCTGCACCAAGTGCGGGTCTCCGAGGGGCTACGCTGCCGTCTGCCCTGCCTGGCAGCGCGCACAGAGATGTCTGAGACTCATTCCTTCACCCTGGCTCCAGTTCTGACCCAGTGGGCAGTGTATGCCATCCGGAACCTCACAGAAGACAATAGCCAGAACCAGGATCTGATTGCCAAGATGGAGGAGCAGGGGCTCGCGGACACGTCCCTGCTGAAGAAGATGGGCTTTGAAGTAGAGAAGAGGGGTGACAAGCTGGTTCTGAGAGCAACTGGCGACACCCCCCCATCGGTGAGTACGCGGGAGTAAGTGGCTGCCAGCTCCTGGGACCCTGGACGTGGCCCAGTCCCTTCCAAACACATGGGTGGCAGGCAGTGTGCCTCCTGACGCGGCGGCGGCAGCCCTACCTCAGTGCCCAGCTGTTTTTTCAGGCTTTACGCTGTTGTTTTCTTAAAAAGAGTTTAAATTTCAAACTCGGTCTGGCAGAGAAATATAAAAAGCATATCATACATTTTTCCATGGTCTAAAAGTTTCCGACAGGAGTGAGATTCTCTTTAAAAGGTGGCTAATGCTGACCTAGAGCACCGGGTGCGACACCGACTGGTGGTCCGGTGCCTCGGTTGCTCCTGACCCCTGATCACAGCTCTCTCTGTGTTTTCCTTTGGTGAGTCTTGGAAATGGATCTCTTACATATGCAGTTTTGTTTCTTTTCTCTTCTCAGTGAATGAGCTCTGCATCCACACATCAGAAGCGTCAGAGCCTGTTTCCTGGATTTCCCATCTTCGGCTCTATGTGAAATTGCAAGTGTTTGAAGATCAAGTACAAATTCCAGGGCTCGTGATGCTTTTAGATAATAGAGTTAAATGTGTTTAAGCTTAAAAGTGAAAGTACATGAGTGTTCTGTTGTTTCTCTGCTTTAAAAACGTAGCTGTCTGGTGAGCCTCGTCCCCATGGATACAGTGTGCGTTTGCGTCCTAGATTGTACTTGCTGTGGCAGCGAATAATGAACTTCTTGTGGAGGCCGCCCTGGCTTGGCAGAGGCGCGGCGTTTGCTGGGGTCCCGTTTGTTCCTTCAGGCGCGAGTCCGCCTCGCCCCTTTCTTCTCTCCTCACTGCGTTTCCGAGCCCTGCAGGCAGCTGAAGGCGCTCTCACTGTGATTAATTCTCACCGTCTCTTTTCACCCACAGCCTTTCCAAAACACTGACAAGACTCATTTCCAGTTAATTAATTCGAGAGACGCTGAAGAATAGAGCTCACCCCCTCTTCATTTTAGGTGCCGGGCTGTGCTGTCACCGAGCCCTGTCCTTTCGAGCTTTGCAGAGAGTCAGAGGACATTGGGGCCATTAACTCTTTTCATTCCACAGCATCCTAGAACCAGACTTCTTAAAACCCATCCCACTGAAAAGCGTTTGCCCTGCGTCGTATGCCCTTTATGCCCCGCTACGGGGCAGGAGAGCTTAGTGGTGGGCGCTGAGTGCGGGGCCCCTGGACCAAAGGCGCGTCGGTGGCTCCTTCCATTTAAAAAGCGCCCGCCTCATAGGGTCCGCGCTCTGTCCCTGGGATTGCAGCAGTAGCTGTCGGGAGCGAGGGTAACGTGACCCAGACGTGTCTGTCCGTGTGTCTTCGTCTTTCTGTGTGTATGTTCACATTGGCAGTGGGACGGGACTGGGCGCACACAAGGCTCCCTGGCCCTTCAGACCGTGGACGGCACCCCAGGGTTTGCAGGAGGCCGCGCCGTGAACGCGAAGCACGGCTTGTCTCCCTGCCCCCCAGGCCACGCGACTGACGTGCCTAGAGGTTTTGCAGAATTCGTGTTGAACCTTCAGTGTAAGAGCAGCGAAGAGCCAATCAGATGTTTTCCAAAAATACTGTGTCCAAAGTGCTTCTAAGTCTTCTGTGCCTGTACTGAAGTCGCTCTGTACAAACAGCTCAAGCATGTTAAGACAAATAAAAGCGTCCCTTCCACTGTGCTGTCTTGTGTGCTCTGTGTGACTCGGAAGAAATGTGGTCCACTGCGAACAACACTTTTTCTCTTGTTTCTGACATACCACCAGTAAAGAGGCCATTGCCGAATTTGAAATGCATGAGGGAGTCCTTCTCTTCTGGGACACAAAGAGTTAAACCCCCAGTGTCTCAATAGAGGCCTGGCCCCAGGGGAAACAGTGGGGGTCCCTTTTCCCTTTTCACCAGTCCAGCAACAGACACTTCTTTCTTCCTCCCAGCGGCTGTGCGCACACCAGGCCTCGCTCGCTCAGGCCAGCAGAGGCTGCATAATAACAAACACAAGTGAAAGGGGGCCGTGGGAAGGGAGAAGGGCTGGAGGGCCTGTGTGCACCAAACAGACTCTGCAGGCCTGCCGAGGGAAACGTGCCGGCGGCCGCATTGTGGCCGCGCGGCAGATTAATTCTCAGCACGCCAGCGTCCGTCCCGGGCGCCCCCGCCCCTGCCCCCGGCCCTGGCCCATCCTGCTAGCGGACTCGGAGCTTCCACTGATGGGGAGCCTCCCAGAGCCTTGTCTTACCTGCTGCAGAGGATTAAAACGCTGGGTCGTTCTGGAGGAGTTGGGGGAGGCAGGCCGGCCTTACAGAATGTGCGCGGGACAGAACGGGCACAGCAAGTCTTGCGGCCTCGACATCGCTTTGGGGGGCAGACGGACACAGCAGGGCGGACACAGCAGGGCACGGTCTCGGCCGGCTTCACTCTCAAAACCGCGGGGGGCTCCCTGCCCGCCCCTGAGTCCCAGTGTCTGCAGGTGGTTTTTTATTCACCTTAACAATGGGTGCTGGTGTTCGAAAATCATTTATTTTCACAGTTTTAGACTACACCACTGATTTGTCGTGTGCATGTGCACGCAGCGTGTGTATATATGTGCATCTGTGGTAGTTCATCTCGTGGGTTGGTGTTTTGATACTGAGATGCAGGTTTCTTCTTCAGTAACTTCCGAACCCAAACACAGGGCTTTGCAAACTACTCAGAGATGTCCAGTTTGCACAATAGGATACAGAGAAATGGTTGAAGTCATTTGGGCTACCAGTTAGTAAACTTTAAATCAAAATAGAATTTTATGCCTGCATATCTGTGCCCATTATCTTAAAGACATTGATATGCAGCTCTTATAACACACCTATGGTTTAAATGATTTTTTTTTTTACTATGTTTTAATTTCTACCCTCAAATGAGTAAAAGATGCTAAAACAGAAACGCCAGTGTTTTCAGGAGCTCTTTTAACAAATACATATTCTGTCATTGGTAAGTTCCACACACAAACATAAAGGAACTCGTTTTTAGGTGAATCAGTAAGATTAAGACTTAAAATGCAGAAAGGTTCAGGAAGAACCTCAACATTTCAGGTCTGATAGAAAACCAGGCCTTTGAAGACTGGCCCCCACATTGCTGTCCAAGGTTCTGATAATCCCGGCTGCCTGGCCTGTGTATGAAAAATCAACTGAAAACCTTATTCTGAAAATTCAGATTTTTTTCCCCCTTGCTTTTACATGATGTAATACCTGTTTTCTTCTTTTTTACACAGTTTTATATATTCACGTGGGTTTCTTTAGGTCGAATCTTATTTAGGCGATATTTTACAACCTGAATTTGGTTTACATCTACATTATATGAATTTTAAAGGTAAGCTTCCTGTAAATGTAGTGATTATAGTATTAACTCGCCCATCAGACGTTCTTCATGACAACCAGTTGTGCCAGTGGAAATGACTTTTTGGAGGTTTTGATCATTGTTTTTTCTTGCTTAAATTAAAACCTTATGTTAGAAACACCAGGGTAAATGCTGCTTTTGTTTAAACAGCATAATACACGTTCTTCATTTACACCTGCAGTTGTGCCATCAGCCGGGTGAGAGCCCACGCGCTGCTTGCTGGCGGGGGTCTGGTTTTCCCGAGCACTGCGTGGCCACCGTGGCGGGAGCGGAACCCGAGGCCTGGGGCCCCGTCACACGCTCCTGCAGGAGGGCCTGAGGGCCCAAGGACGTGGTTATGGAAGTGCCCGGGTCAGCGCCCAACACCTCAGCGCTTGCTGGCACGGGTCACTCCCACTACAGCTGGGACAAGCGTCCCTGCGTGCTCAGGACCCTCGCTGCGGGTTTCCCTGGCAGAAGCGCGTGGAGCTGCGTCTGGTCACCCGCCTTGTCCCGCACACAGTGCTGGGCACACTGCGGGTGCCAGGCACGCCACAGGTGCTCACCGAACGGATCTTTCTGTAGCAGAGCCTTGTGCCCGTTCCCTGGGTAGGGGCAGCACTCTACGCGTGTGACATCAACCCCCGTAGGAACCATACCGTGTCTCCTTGAGCTAGCGTCGTGACATTGCGGACAAGGAAGTTGAGTTGCAGAGGCTGGTGCCCAGGGTCACGTGCAGTAACTGGTCAGTGGGTAACGGCTGTGATTCCAAGGGGATGAGTGAAGGGACACTCGGCTTCTGCCCCAGGAGCCCTGAAAGCGACAGCGTGCCTGGGTAGTGGCTCAGCATGGGGGAGCGGGGGGAGCGTGGGCTCTGCTGTTAGCAAAGGCCAAGCTCAAATCTCCACTTCACTTCCTGCCAGCTGGGTGGCCTGGAGCAAGTGTGGCGCAAGCTTGTTCCCTTCACCCAGCGGGCACTGGGGATATGGCAGGAAGCAAGGCAGGCCCGGGCCCTGGTCTCCAGAAGCGTACGTGCTGGTGAGAAGGACGACAAATTAACAAGCATGCAAGCAAATGAAGGAGGGTACTGTATCTTGTAGTGAATGCCACAGGAGAGCCATAAACAAGGTGATGACATGGTGGCTGGGGTGGCCTTTCAGAAGTGATTACGTCGGACCCGCAGCCGCAGGGCTGGTAAGGTGCTGGCTGTGCAGAGAACTTGGGCGGAGCATCCCAGACAGGGCACCAAGCCCCATGGCCCAGGAACTGGACGGCTTTCATGGGACCAGGGACCAGGAGGGTGGCCGTGGGGCCAGAGCCCAGTGGCCAGGGGATGGCGGGGGATGAGTGAGACTCGGCTGGGGGGTGGCCGGGGATCCGGTCATGCAGGGCTCCAGGGCCGTGGTGCTGCCCGGGTTTCCCTGAGGCTCGCTGGGGAGGGGCTGGGCTGGGATGAGCCGCGGGGAGATGACCTGCTCCACGTTGGCACCGAGCGCCCTCGCTGTGTGTGCAAAGTGAACTGGGGAGAAGAGAGAACGGAAGTGGGGACGCGACGCCTGGGGCTGTCGATGGCGAGTGGACGAGCGTGGGGGCGCTGGCCGGGGAGAGACGCGGACCTGACACGTGCGTTGGAGGCAGAATTCCCAGGACTTGCTGACGGGTTCGTCGCTCAGGATGGAGGTTTTGCTGAACAGCCGGGGAGGTGATTACGCTTCCACTGGGGCGGCCCAGTCTGATGGGAAGAAGAATTCCGATGTGTTTTGTTTGGAGCAGAGAGAATCAAGAATTCTGTTGTAGGCAAAATAAGTTTGCGATACTTTTGAGACATCCAAGTGGAATTAACTTGAAAAGTAATTGGAAGGCAGGTCGGTACTGGAAGCCCGTGCTGGGAGTCGCTGGTTTTACACGCAGGCGACATTCGGAGCCATGGGAATTAGTGAGATTGTCTAGGGAGCGGGTGTGGGCAGAGGGGGGCTGCCGCAGCGCACGGCCCGCACTCCACGTCTGCGGCAAGGCTGTACCTACACGGTAGCATGAGATTTTCCCCCCGGAGAGAAACCCCTTAGAAGGAGCATTTTAGGGGCTGCATCATCCAGATGTGCTAGTTTGGACTTGACCAGTCACCTACCATCACCAGACATTCCGTGTTCTGCTTCTCATCGTGTTAGTGAATGCTTCAGCGCACAGCCAGGCGCATCACGCGCTCTCCGCGTTTGGGGCTCTCCCCGGGGATTGTTAGAAAAGAGCAGGCACCTCTGAATCGGGGACGGTGGACCAGGTAATTCTGGCCCGCCCTCCCTGAAGACAATAAAAAGCAGACTGACATATTTTAAAACTGTTGGAAGGTATCAGGGAGCTAGCAGGGAGCAGTGCAGAGTCGCGGGACCAAGGTCCAGGAGCAGGCAGGCTGGGGGTGTTCCCCATTGCAGGGGGAGCGCAGAGGCTGCACCGCTGGGGGATCCTCCTCGCAGATGCGGGGCCGGGCGCGTGGCGCCCCCGCTTGGAAAACCTCCGTTGCTCTAGGTTGGGACCCCAAAGGGCTGCGTCAGAAGAGTAATAATGAATCAGAAAAAGCGCCCACTCAGTGGCCGTGGTGTGCTGTGCCGTCGGGCACCCTGGGGCTCTGCTGTGCCAGGTACCCGGGAACATAAGTCCTTTCTGGGAAAAGGTGACGTTATCCTCGGTCTCAAAAGATTTGTCTGACTTTTCATACATGTTCTCCGGTGCTCAGTCAAAAATAATAGGAGGCGACAAGATGACATGAAAATCAAAGGAAAGCCATAGCTAACAGAAACAAACACGGAGAGGCTTCAGGTAGCAGTTACCAGACAAATTTAAGATTAGATATTCAATGTGTTTAAAGAGACAAAAGACAAGATTGAAAATGTCAGCCAAAGACAGGACACACTATGAAAGAGGATCCGCTGGAAATTCAGGAACTTCAGGAAAAGATAACCAAAATTAAGAAGTCAGTAGTTGAATTTAGCCACAAAGGAAAAGACTCATAACTGGAAGGCAGACGCAGTGGAAAATAACCAGAATGAACCACAACCTGACAAAGGGCTAGAAAACAGGGTGAGGGACATAGGAATGCAGTGGAGGGTCTAACATCCGTTTTAGAGTCTAAAAAACGAGAGAGCGAGTGTTCTCGTTTCCGGTAATTGCACCTGAAAGTCAAAACCTAAACCTGAGGTTTGAAATGTCACCAAGAAGGCCACGGTGAGAGGACGTTCACGTGAACACCCTGAGCTCGGATAGACGGTTCTTGCCCTTCCCTCGGTAGCGAAGCGGGTAGTGAAGCAGGAAACGCAAGCCGGGTTGGTCCGT